TTATTATTATTTTGTCTTTTTTTATTTTTATTTTTGTATTCGTTGGGGGTGTTTGCGGTCAATCGAGTTATTACATTATCCTGTCAATTTTCAGGGGCTTGAAGCGACATTGAGTGACAGCAAAAAGAAGTACGGCGACAAGGTGAATGCACTTTTGTCTGCCTGGGAACATGTCACCAATTTCATTCCTGGGGCCCCGCCAGAAGCCGCCCAGTCTCTCATAGAATGGGCTCACAAGTGAGTTTAATGCTAGACAATAATATATTATTTTCCTTAATATTTATTTTTCTTCATTTTATTAAATATCTATTATAATACTTCGTATAGAAATTTTTTTATTGTTATTGCATATACGATATTATCAAACGCTTTGTCGTAAATCTTTTGGCATTTGTATATATTACGATTAATGTGGAGAAAAGTGAATCTATAGAATCAGCGAGGAATGTTACGATATGCAGATGTTTCACAGATTGCTTGATTTACGAGGGCGTTCTATAGAATCCCGTTATCTCAATATGAATCGTAATATACATACAACAAGGTATCCCAAGAGTTAAAAGAACAGAACAATGAATTAATATTAGTTAATTTATAGAACATTTTGTTTCTCCATCAAAGATATAAATTTCCAGCTACAGTGTGTTAAAATTGGATTCGAATATCTGGCTAAAAAATAATTTTTAGTTTGTTAAAGCGACTTTTGAGATATTATGTATTTATAATATTTAAAAACATGCATAAATATAATCTAAATTGGATTAGCCGGAAAATATGTGCCGAATTTGACGGAAAATAAGTATTTAAATGGGTGTCTGTTAGACGTGTTTAGTTAAATGTTGTTGCTTACGTTACAGTTTACAATATGATGTAATATAGGACCTTTTTCCAGGCACCCATTCATTTATAGATCAGAACGAACTCTACCGGACTATCTAATAGGATATATGAATATGCATATATTCCTTTTATTATTATTTTGTGGTTTGTTTTGTAGACATACATTAAAACTGGTATTGCGCGGGGAGTGGCCAAAGTTAGCACCCGCCACGAGGACGCACCTCAGCGTAACACTACAGAGGTGCGCGTCTCACCTGGTGCAACACCCCGCTGCACCCAGGTGTACCGCCTTGATAGCTCTAGTGCACAATCCATGGACGCATCCTGCTCTCGACAGCATACTTAACGGACAACCGGATTCCGAACATGAAGAAGGTAACGTGTTTCTGTCTTCCTTCTTTCTATCTTTGTTTTTTTTTTTTTTTACCTTTTTTCTACCTTTGTCTCTTTTTTTCTGGATAAAAAAGGAAAATCGATCGTGAAATATCGAGTCATCAATTTGTTTGTTAGCAAACATTTTCTTTCATTGATCTTCTGGCAACAACGAAACTAATCAGCAGGAAACGTCATTATTGAACGGGACTAGTTCGTGTTAAAAGTGTATAATTTATACAGGAATAATCTCCGATGTTCCTAATTTACTTTTTACCTCATCAAAACTTTCTTTGATAACAAGAATTTAAAGGAAGAATAGTAACAAGATAATAATACCGGAATAACAAGTTATGTACTGTGAACAAAACAATGACTTGTGGAATGATCCATATTCTTACTATTATAATAAATGATATTGTGCAACTATAGTCGCCCCTAGTAGTATAAAAGTTAAAATTTAAAATAAAATAGTAATTCACCAATCCATATATTTTAAATATTTTAATAGTTTGTATATCTTTTAAGCGACTACATGCTATAAGTAGTAGCGATAAATTAAAAATTTTTCAAATAATAATAATAATGAATGATTCAGCTACTTTTTTCTTCTTTTTCTTTTTTTTTGTTTTGTTTTTTTGTTTATCTTATTTTACTTTTTTAGAATTCTGCTGTTCGGAAAAGGGCGAGCTACTGACGATGAGACTGAAAATACTTTGCGAGGACCGCTGCGAGGACATAGCGGTGAACCTCGCTGCGGCGTGCATTCGCTCTCTTAGAAGAAGCGACCGATTAAGATCGCTTTCAGATTCCCATCACATTCATTACATGATCGACGTATATATTGTCCTCCTGTACAAATTGAAACGCACGCAAGATATTTTCGCTCAAGTGAGTAATTAACATGTCAGCGTACAATTTAATTCATGTTTTAATTCATTTAATTAAAATTTTCTATTTCTTCTTTATTTTAATTTTTTTCTCTCTTTTTTTTTTTTAATTATATTTAAATGTATATGATAAGTATGTATTTTATTTATATAGATGAATTAAAGAATATTTTTGAAGTTGAGATAACAATAAAAATAAATACTATCGTTTCTTTTTTTTTCTTTTTTTCAGTTAAAATTAATGGATCTTAATGATGGACTCGAGTTAGTACAGAGACTCAGTGGAGAAAGACCAACTAAATATGGAACAGCTCGTGTTTGGAGAAATTCTATAAAAGCTGCAGAATTAGTAGCTCAGTATCTCGTAACCGCCGGCATGGTACGACCAGTATCAGAAACTGGTGCGAACATTTTGGAGCAAATTTTTAATTCCTGGGCGTTATTACATTCAAAATTAAAAGATATTACACCTACTTTACCTGGGATGATTAGGAAATTAATAGAACCTGCCGAAAGTGCTCAGCATATATACATATTCTGTGCTATACTTATCAAGCATGTAAGTACTCTACTAAACATTAAAACTAACAACCTATTTTTATATCTCTTTATTTACACGCATTTATATAAGGGGTAAGACCACTATAGAATTTTCAAAAAATCGATTTTTTTTTTTTGCATTAAAGTGTACTTTAGACATCTATTTTATGCATAGTCCCGAAGCAAAAAAAATTTTTAACACGGCGAAATCTTATTTTTACTAAGCCTCAAAGCGCCTTAAATAGTGATAACAAAACTTTGAACGCGTTTTTCACAAAACTTTTACTCGAAAATTTTTAAAACTGGGCGGACTCAGAACTCGAGCATCATTTAACCGATTGACTTGAAATTTTGAAGATAGTTTGATAGTTGTATTTTCTACAGAAGTACATATCCGATTTTTAATTGAATGTAAACTTTTAATTTTACAAACAATTTTCTACATCTTTTTTCGTCAAAAAGTCAATTTTTTTATTCAAAGTTGCGCCATTTTCACAAAATTTGACTTAGGAAAAAATCCGTATGTACTTCTCAAGATAATAGTACATAGATTAAGAATTTCTTTTGGTTTTTATTTTAGATCTCATAGTTGTCCAGGTATGAGTCCGCCCGTTTTAGCAAAAAAAAAACAGGGTTTTGTTCAGTCACGAATACCGACACCATTTTCTATTTAAAATCAATAAAAATTTTTGTTTATATAGTCAATATATGATTAAACAACCTTTAAAAAAGAAATTCTATTCCTTATTTAGTTTTTGCAAAAAAAATTCCCAAAAAAGGATTTTTTCAGGCTCTATAGTGGTGTTACCCGTTAAATAAAAAGAAATAACTCAATACTCATTATTATTTTTATTTAATTTTATTTTCAAACAATAAAAAAATACAATTAATTCTCTGAAGTAATGATGAGTTTGTTCATTTTAAAAGTATAATTTTAAAATTCGCATTCAATAGTTTTAATTCTCTTAATTATTAAAGAAATAAAAAATATGTACATAATACGTATATCTATAATAATTTCGTCTATATCTTTAATTTTTATATTGCAGTTCGGCGATAGTATAAAGCCACTGGTGATCGAGTTATACATAAGAGCGTTAACGACTGATATGAACGAGTTGGAAAGTCAAAAGGCAAAATCGGACAAAGAGAAAGTACGAGAAACAGCTAAACGTTTGAGTACGCAATTTCTCAAATTGGCTGACGTTGTTGGTAGCAATATTGGTATAGCAAGAGAATGCGTCTTAACGGCATTTTCTTTGCATCCTACCAGAGTTTGTTTCGATAGAATAAAGGATATAGCGATAGCCTGTGGAAAAACTAAGCAAGATGATAGTTGTTCATTGAATGACGTCATTGAAAATGAAAAACTTCCAAATTCGTTGACAAAAGACCATTCGACAGCGTCTTCGGTGGCGAAAAATGAAAAGACTGTCACGGAAAGGGCAGGCATTTCGATATCGCGTAATAGTAGCGTCCTAGAATCCTTGTCGTCGTCATCGTCGTCATCGTCATCGTCGCCGTTGCCGTTGCCGTTGCCGTTGCCGTTGCCGTTGCCGTTGCCGTTGCCATTGCCGTTGCCGTTGACGTTGACGTTGACAACGTCAACGTCAACGTCAACGTCCTCTTCTTCTGTTACCACAAATACTAACACTACAACAAGCATTACTTCTACCTCTACATCTAATACAACCTCCACAACATATTCTTCCTCTTCATTAGTTGCGACGATAGCTGCTTCGTCGTTCTTGTCGAATACGATAATGACCATCGCAACGCCAACTGCAGTGACAAAAAAGCCCATTGATTTTCAGAACGGTCAAGTATCAAAGACCTTCGAGCGTACGGATCAATTATTAAAAAGCATGTTAACGGCATCACGAAAAAACGAAAACATACCGCTAAACGAGAAGTGCCTGTTACATTCGAAAAAAAGTTCCACTACAGAAGGCCCGTTGGGTGAGCTGTGTTTCAATTGTGGCGAATTCACCGGTGACGAAACATCTAATAACCAATCTCTTGAGACATGTAACACAGCGGAAAACGTTGAAAGGACATTGGACGCCTTGATCTTGATTAAGGGAGACGCTGTTACAGGATCGGCAAATTATGATGAAAAATCTGTACCAAATCAAGTCCTCGATGCTGAGAAACTTGGCCTCTCGCCACAATTATGCGACGATTTATCGGTTGTTCTCAGTAGTCCGAGGTATCATATGCTTAGTTGGGTATTGGATTGGAAAGAATTGAACAATTTATGTGAGAGATATTTGGAGAACGCAGAAGAAATGCGGAATACGAATAAAGAATTGAAGTATCTTAATATTGATTATTCCCAGTTCAAAGATTGGCCCTCTGAAGATGACACGAAGGATGAATTTTTTGGAATTGAAAAAGGCTACGAACAATGGGTCGATTTACCTTCTGACAGCTCGGAACAATTTGGTAGTTTTCAACCAGCAGGAGGGTACAAAAGATCTTCGACAAGACGAAGTTTGGATGATACTTCTACAACAGATTCGGATAGTGGAAGTGTACTACGTGTTAGAAGGACAGGAAGGCAACGTAAAGTTCACAGGCTCGAATCTTCTGAAAGCGATTACGACAGCACTGAACGTAAACCAAAACATTTTAGAAATCGTGCTAGCTCTGTCTCCGATTCCGATAGTAATACCCAAGATAGCCAAACCGATAGTCTCGGTAGTGATGGTTGTAGATTGGAAACTAAACAGAAATCTAATAAATCTTCTAATAAAGAAATTAATAAGAAACGAATCAAACCATCGAAATTAACCGTAGATTCAGTTTCGCATTTTCACATGTTGGTTAACGAAAATGTCAGGCATACATCTTCCCACGAAGATGCTAGCGGTTCCGATGTAAGTACCAATGATATAATAACCCTATTTTCTGCAGATATGGATGAAAGCAAACGGGAAACTATCAAAGGATCGACTTATACGGCAGCAGCACCATTAATTATAACTGAGAGAAGAAGCGATCCTGCGGTACTGAAATCTTTGAGAATGTTTAGGCCACAGAATGCAAAAAAACCGACAAGGATAACACAAATATTGCAAAAGAATTTGCTTAATAAAAGCAAAGACAATAAGTTAAACGAAGAAGCCAATAGTGTAGCCAAATTTGCGCCAATGCTGAGTACGTTGAATTTAAGTCCAAAAATTGTATTGACTAGAGCAGATGAAATTGACAGGAAATTAGTTCGTTCGAAAAAACAACAACGGCTTAGTACCGGAGATATCACTAACGAGTTGATTAATATACAAAAGACCATGCCTTTTTCACCTAACAAAAATGTAATAACAACGTTTCAAAAACAAAAGAATTGTACTGGCAATAACTCGAATAAAACTGATTTAGTAGGAAAAGTCGTAGATAGTCATGATTTAAGCTCCGTTAAATCTAATTTGGGTAAGAACAAATTTGATATTCTTGCAAAGGCAGTCAGAGACTCGGATATATTAGCAAAAAATGTACCAGGTTTAAATTCCTTAGATATGATGGTACCGCCGAGAGTTCGATCAACTGTAAACGTTGTACAACTTTCTAGAAACATTCCACAGAGTCCTAATTCAGGTTCTACAAATAGTGGTAATACGCCTCCAAGACCGAACAGAACACCAAGCGTAGCTGGAAGTATTCAATTACCTGGTACACCTTCTTCCGGTGGACACGATAGTGGTGTCGGGATGAGCCCAGCCGGTCAAACACCACCACCAAGATCATCTGCTTTGCCTGACATAGGCGAGGAAGCTAATCAGCAACCAGATACGTCTTCAACGACTCCAACAAATACGATTCATTTCGATTCTGATTCAACTCCAAGAACGATGGTAACTATGCGACGTGGTAGCAATCAACATCAATCTCCGAAGAAATCTCCTTCGCCTTGTTCGGCAGCGACAACAACTATAACGATAACGACCACAACAACAACATCGTCTTCATCGTCACCATCCTCAACGGTCGTACCATCATCTTCGATCGGATCCGAACAATTACAAATAGTATGCAAACCTGACGGTACTTACCAATTAGCTTCGGTTAATCCTAACGTATTGACCAATCAAAGAAACGTCCTTACCTTGCAGAACTTAGATGATGGAAACGTTGGAAATTTTTCACGGCAGGCACAACGTAACACAGAAGCAACGAATAACTCGAGTAATAGAAATACCTACGACAGACTACCATCAGTCAAAGTATCTTCGCAACCAAGTCAAAATGCAGGTTTGCCAAAATTTCAACAAGCATTCGGTAGAACAATTTACACATTATCGACGGATACAAGTAGCGGAACGGTAACTACAACAGAAGCACTTGTTCAACCAGCGTCTACGCAAAAAACAACAAATCTTTCGAAAGCTGTACAAACATCAGTACCTAACATTCAACAGACTAATTCGGCGACAGGTATCAATGTACAATCAATAACCAACATACCTAATTTACAATTATCTACTGGTAGACAAATATTGAATATCGTTCAAAGTTCAAGCGGTAATGCAAACGCGGGGACGAATTTAAATACAAATCAAGCGTTAACGCAGCTTGTACAAAGCGTGCAGAACGCTTCACCAGGTGTAATATATACGCACAAAATACCAGTTACTATATCAACCACGAATCCAAGCCAGATAAATATCATACCAACAATATCTCATGCTAATTCCATACCAGCAGGTAGAACGCCCGTAGTGAAGTTAAATATTATTCGTACTGCTGCTCCTTTACGACCACAAAGTATTACTGGTGCGATACAGGCTGTTCTTACGACTCCCAGATTGCAACAACAGGCTCAACAAAATGTTAGAACTGACAATTTATTGAGCCCTCCAATTGAGGTACCGAATCAAGTAAGTTCAACGACTTTGGAACAACTGCGAGAATTTGAAAGTGTTTTAGAGCAAGTTAAGGAAAGAAGTACTATTCAACCTCAATTACATCAATCTTTATCATCTACGACAACTACTACCGTACAAACGCAAACAACAACGCAATCGAATAAACAACAATCACAGCCACAACAACAGCAACAACAACAGCAACCGCCACCACAACAACCACCACAACAAGTATCCGTTAGCGCGCTTGCACAACAACTTTTGATGCCAACGCAACCAAGCAGCAATAATGAATTCTCCGGTAACAGTAATAACGTTACATTTCAACAAGACGTGTTTTCTCAAAAAGTTTCACTCGCTTATGTAAATCAAAATGCGGCAAGTGGCGCTGCTAAGGTATCGAATTCTACGCCTGTAGTTGTGGTAACGAGTTATTGTCAACCCGTAGCCTCACCAGCATTAAGTGTTACTTCTCAAAGTTCGTCGAGTCCGTGTGTAACTCCTGCACCTGCTCCGATTCCATCGGCTGGAAAAACACCTCCTACCCCACCTTCTTCAAAAACAGTTAAAAAGTCAACACCTAAAACAGTGAAAACAAGTGCGACAAATACGTCGAAGGCTTCACCTCAACCGAAACCACAACAAAAGCCACAAGAGGATGAACAAACGGCGCAAAGGATTTATGCTATTTTAGACGAATACGCGGAACAGTTAAGAAATTCACCAGATCTTAAGAACAAACCCGCTCCGAGAAGAAGATCCAATCCACCAACCAATCCGAGTCAATCTTCGAAGAGGAAAAAATCTAGCTCAAGTAAGACAAAACCCGTGGGACAACAAACTTCGGAATTAAGTCCGAGTACGGATGATCTTGGTAGAACAATGGGGAGCGAAGATTCTTCTAGTGGTGTAGTACATGTTCAAGATAGCCCTGCAAGTTTTGTAACTACCGAAGAACCATCTACTAACATAACGAACACTACCGATACGAATGCCGAAGTACGTAATCTAACCAACGATTCTAGTGATGGCGTTGAATTAAATGTTAAAAGACGCAATCTCATATTTGCTGAACCTGGTACTGGCCAACCAAGAGCTGTTATCGTTCAGGAAGCTTTACAAACTAATTCTGTCAGCGTTAGCGAAGCTATTGCTTCGGTAACAGGAAAAGTAGGAAGTACGGCAGTCTTGGTGCCAGGTACCAATTACATCTTACCAATGAATTTAATGAAAAGTGGTCAACAATTTACGATAGTATCGAGTGGATCGAAGTTCCTTGCGACAGTGCCAGCGACGGTTAGAACTACCGGTAATACCGGAGTATCTAATACACTAGTACTACAATCTTTTCTAACTCAACCTGGTAAAATAAGTTCTCAATCTACCCATGTGAAACAAATTAAGTTACCAACGTTACAAACCTTATCAAGCAATCAATCCTTGAACACTACACAAAATGTTCAAAATGCTTCCGTTGTTATTCCACAAACAGCAACCAGCAATCAATTTTCAGGCGAAACTGTTAATGAGAAAAATAATATAATAAGTGATGTCAATGCGCCGAAATCAGATACAACAGCTTCTGGTGCGGCGGGAGCTACGGAATCAGCGACAAGTACTATTGTGCTTAATAAAACTAACCCAACTATTGGTTTGATTCAACGAAATCTTAACGAGATATCAGAAAATCAGCAAATTTGTAGTGTAATTACAAGTAATCCTAATTTAGCCTTACAGAGTACGAGATTGTTTAATCCTTCTATGCATAAGATATCAACACCCGGCGGATTAAAAGCTGAAAACGTGGTCTGTCTGACACCAACAGGAACTATTGCTCATTCGACAGAAAAGAAAGCATCGCAGGAGAATCAAACGCATAATGAAAAATCAGTATCTATTCAAACAGCAGCTACGATTGCCTTAGCTTTTACTACACAATCGACAGATCCTTTAATAAATGGCAGTCAACAACAACAAAAGGATATTAAAGAATCTACTTCTGATATAATATCCGACGCCAAAATCATTTCACCTAAAACGGTTAAGAGAAAAATGGAGGACGCTGTAAGCATGCAGGAAATCATACCTAGAAACTTAATCGCTACGAACTCTGTTGTTTGTTCTAGCATCGTTACGTCATTGCAAAATAATACAAAGATAGGTAAGATTCTAACAAATAAACTATGAATGTTTAGTGAATAATTTATCAGTGTTTTCTTATGTAGATAATTTTTGTTTTTGGTATAAATAATTCGGTTTTATCAATAATATTTTTATCAATAATTTGTTTTTGTTTTTTTTTTTTGCAGATTCCATGTCTACTATTGCCTCAAGCAATAAAGACTCGTCGAGTATCGAAAATTCAACGCAATACTTAGTGACAGGTGGTCCTGGTAGTTCGGACAGTCAAGAATCTCCGGTTCAACAATCTAGCGAATCGGTAGACGTATCTTGTAAAATTAGCAATGGTTTATTATATGAGAATGCAAGATTACAAGAGGTATGGGAACCAGAAGGAAAAGTATCTCCGGATACACCATGGAGATACGTCCCAACGTCAACAAATCCTTTGGGTATCGAACCATTAAAGATATATTCAAGGGAAAATGATAACTCAGATAATGTACAAAGCGTGTTGCAAATAATCAATAAAGGTCAAGGAATAGAAATGGCAAGTGGCCAAGTTTATCAAACGAATACAAAGAAGTATTTTATGAACCATACTTTAGAGCCGTTTCATCAACAGTATTCGACTAAAAGTATCATGAAAAATCAGTTAAATCAGAGATTAGATCGAGAATTGATGCAGCAAAAAATAGATAAGAAAACGGCGGCGATAGAACGTGAGCTTAGGTTGCAAAAGAGCTTATCGGAAGAGTGCGAGGATTTGGGTGTTGACGAGCCAAGTACTAGCGATTTGTTTCCAGAAGCAGATTTGTTGTTTGATACAAATCATTCACCGTCATTCGACCATTCCTCGCAAGATGCATCTTGCAGTCAATCACTGGGGATGAAATCTTACAGCAGTTCCTATTTTCGTCCTTTAGACTCCTCAAGCGGTAGCAGGGACGCCAGCCCAGTCGCTGATTTCAAATTGAACGAACGTAGAAAGAATGCGACTCAACGTACGAGAAGTCTAAAAGATACGAGCAAAAGGAGGAAGGGTGATAACAATGCGGTCGAATTGCAACCAGAAAATCCTGCGAAACATATGCGCTTCACATTAGAAAATTTAAGCCAGGACGAGGAAGAAGGCTCTAACAGTAATTCAGATATGTCGAGACTTTCCCCGGCACATTTACCTATGCTGGATAACGATTCCTCGAAGGATATTAGTCGGATAAAAATGGACTCGAGAAATGGTTCAAAGGAAGGCTCACCAATCAGTGTATCCAGCATTCCATCTAACATTAAGCTGGATATTGATCTTGATTCGGAATCATTACCACCAAGTATAAATGTAAATAATACATCAGCCGCTAGCTCAGGAGATGAGGCTTTAACATTGCTCGGTAGTAGTACAGCTGATGTAACTATACCTTCGCCACTCTCGCCTATCGCCGGACCTCTATTGTCAACGCACAAATACACTTACGCAAATAAAAAGCGTATAGCCTCGAAAGTAACTAGAATGGATTATCTTTCTTGGGAAAGTCCTATGTCCGAAAGAACGAGGACGAGTAGTGATGAGGAGGAATCCAGTATTAGCGATGAGGATGATAACGCATTGACGAATGGTCTCGACGATGCTGTACAACAAACATTAAAATCCTCATCAACCGATCGACATTGTACATATTTGAAAAAAAAGGATAAGTTACAAGTGAATGCAAGAGTGGTATTGAATAGAGCCGATCACAAATCAGGTAGTTTGAGTAAACGTGTTAAACCAACGGAATCTATAATCGATCCCGTCGTTCTTTGTAGCGACAAAATTTCCGAATTATCGGAGGACGAGACCAGTAATATAACGTCATTAGCAGAACCAGATTGTAGAGCTAGAAGATCAAGTTTGCGTGGACATGTGAAGAAAGGTTGTGCCTGTTGCAACGGTTCACCTGAAAGACCGAAGAAAAAGACAGTTAAATCTTCGGATCATCGTTTGAAGAAGAGATTATCTTCAAAACAGGCCGCCAAGAAAAGGTAGTCCTAGCGATCTAACGCTCGCTCGTCGTCTTTTTCGTCTTATCGATATATCTTTACTCTTCTAAGCATTTTCTTAAAACATGCTAAGGTAATGGTAAAACCTTCGAGCGATCTAAATATTATTCTTATAGTAGAACTCTATGGCTAATTGGAATTAACATGAGATTTTTTCATATATTATTTACCTCGACAAAATTAAGAGATTCGTTTGCGATCATCATTGATCGCAATAGGTCCCCGTGAAAATTGCGTTTGTAAATAATTAGAACGGGTGGAAATTATAAGAAAAAGAAAAAACGAGAACGAGAGAGAGAAAAAGAAAAAAAGGGAAAGAGAGAGAAAGGGGGGAGGAATTTTATTGTTTTTTTTTGTCCTTAAATATCTATCTAGTGTCGAAAAAGAGTCACATTTACAATACGATTTACAATAAACGGTAAACTGTAAGTACGTACACTTATACATAATATAAATAATATTAAAATTGTGTTTAAATCGCTGGTAAGATATAGAGAAAAGAGAGAGACGAACAATTTATAGTATGTTTCTCCATAAATTAAAATAGATGATCATCCCTCTTACATTAGGTGTTATTTACTATACTAGAATTTAAGGTAAACAGATCATTATTTGGATGAAAAATAATAATTAAATAAAAAAAAAAATACTTAGATTACAATATTAAGATCACATTTAGAGACGCAATCTAGTCAAGAAATAACGCTGATGATTTAGAGGATGATAATTACAGAATAATTATTAATATAAACATAAACACTAAAACGAAAATGTTGATAATGATGATGCTAAAGCTAATGCTACTGCTAATGCTAATGCTAATGTTACTGCTAATGCTAGTGTTAATGCTGATGATGATGATGCTAATGCTAATGCTACTGCTAATGCTAGTGTTAATGCAGATGATGATGATGATGAAGAAGACGAAGATGATGATGATAATGATAATTATGATGATAATGATGATGATTAGTATGATATTGATGATGATGATGATAATGAAAATGATTATAATTATAATGATGATGATGATGATTATAATGATAATGACGATGATGGTGATGATGATGATGATGATGGTGATGATTATAATGATAATGACGATGATGATGATGATGATGATGGTGATGATGGTGATGATGATGATGATGATGATGATGAT